CTTTCTTCCAAAAAGTACCCTAAACACATAAAACGGCTCAATATTTTCTCTAGGGGGATAGGGTTTCCAGTTGGAGGCTCAAGATGGTGGAGGCTGATGATAAGAAGGACCCCAAGGGGTTAGAGTCCTTAAATAGGGCTCAAAACCACGAAATTAGGGTTTTAACACCGTGGAAGTACGCCCAACGTACCATAAGTTACGCCCAACGTAACCCCCCCAAAAACGCGTCCCCCTTCAGGCAGTACGCCCAACGTACTACCTAGTGTACGCCCAACGTACTGCCAGACTCCCTTTTCCAGCTTAACTTCAAATAACCATAACTTCTTCGTTTCAACTTCGTTTTCGAGGATCTTTATATCCATGTAAAGGTACCGACGAGCTCTACAATTCTATCTTAATACTTACGACTAAAAACATCTCGAACTAAAATCCTTAATTTTTGCAAGAAGCCCGAAACATAACCTTTTCCAATTTACCCCTCAGCTTCTATCGAACAATCCAATGTTTAAATCACTTATCCAACATCATACACCTCCAATAGAGTCTAAACTTCATTACATTGAAGCCCAAGGTCTCTATTTGATCCATGTATTGTCCACAATCCTGAAATACGAACTTCTCAAATATATATATATATATATATATATATATATATATATATATAATTATTCAAGAAGTTGGTTTGGATATTTTATAAATAGAAACATTGAATTCAACAAAAAATAATACAAAAGGGTAAAATAGTCATTTTTATAATTCGGCACAACAGTTCAGAGGTTCGAACCACACAACAAGTTAAAAATCCAGATCTTAAAAATTCAGACTTCTTAAAAATTTGGATCCTACCAAACAACTCCCCAGTTTTCACCAAATTTGGATCTTAATAGCACTTCACCAAATCTGGATATAGATAACACTTCACGAGAATCATACACACCCAACCTTCACGAGATCTTATATCCTTCTCCCTCGTTCAATAAAATTGATTCTTTGTATTTGATTCATGGTTTAGACATGTGTTTTATTTATAGGTTGTTACGCGTGATTAGGTTCTTAGAAAATTAAGTGTTTAATTTGAACCTCGATTTCTAGGTTTTATTTGGGTTTCAATAAATTTGATTATCTTAGTTTGATATATGGTTAGTGAGAAGTTATGTGGAGTTTTATCTTTAGTTATTTAGGTTTGATCTTGATTATTTATTTATTTATTTTGGGTTTGTTCTTGATTTATTATCTCCCTTTTGATTTTAATGTCGATGAAATTACAGGTGGGCTTACCGGAGAAAGCAGTGTGTTCAATGTATCTTCGGAGATGGTGCTGGAGTGTCGAGTTGCGAAAGCTATCTACGGTGGTGGAAGGGGAAGGAAAGTGAAAAGAGGGCATGAGTGGGTCCAGAGCCATGTGTTTCAGTTTTGAAGTGTTCAAGACAAACTCTCGAAGTTTTGGGGTTTTGATTCAACAAATAATGGTGATGAAGGTGGTTTGGATTTTCGATGAAAATGAGGGGAGAAAGATGAACACAAGTGATGAAGGTGGCGGAGGAAGCCATGAGATTTCTCCTCAGATCGATTTTGCAAAAAGAGGCGACAACCATGGGAGTTGTTTTCAAAAGCTGGTGTGTCAGATTTAATGCACGTGGGCAGTGGTGGTGGAGAAGATCGATCAGGCTAAGGGGTATCATTACAATACATTTATGGGTGAAAACGATTCTACATCAGCATCATGCATTTTCACAACACACCTACTATATACATATAGGGGTGGTGTTCACTATTGAAGAAAGAGAGAGAGAGAGAGAGAGAGAGAGAGAGAGAGAGAGAGAGAGAGAGAGAGAGAGAGAGAGAGAGAGAGAGAGAGAGAGAGAGAGAGAGAGAGAGAGAGAGAGAGAGAGAGACTTACGTAAGCATCCATGACCACCCTTATTCCACAAGAAAATTACTATGCTTTAGTGTGATGTTCGCTAGTAAAAATCCCCTCCACATAGGATTCATAATCATAAAATAGCCTCCGGATGGCCGTGTAGTAAAGGGCAAGAAAGATGATGGTTAAAACAGCGGTATGTTTAAAAAACTAGTTTCAAAACGTACGAAATAATTAAATGATTGTTTTATTTATTTATTTATTTTTATTTTTTTTATTTTACTGAATATTATATACAAAACTTGTTCATTAACTGCTTCTTTGACCAATATAAAGAATTCTTGGTTCATGCAATGTATCATATCAGATCGTTACAGAATCACGCAACACAAGTTTCAATCGTGCAAAACAAGCTTCATGGAATCTGATCACATGAATATTACAAGCTTCATGGAATCTGATCACATGAATATTTTCACCTGAATTTTATAAGATTTCTTGGTTCTTTAAATGTAATGTATTATATATCCATTCATGACCAATATTAAATTTAGAAAAGTAAACACGAAAACGAATTGGATCTATAAATAAAAGAAAAAATATCGTTTCATTTCATTGAATAGATATAACCTTCATATGTCATAATGTCAATGTCTATAGCTTCTCATGCTTTCTCTCTTTCATCTGTACCTAAATGCAGTCACGAAGGTCAAAAAGAAAGAGCCAATATGGCCCTCACTTTTGATAAATACAAGGGTAGGCTTCAAATGCTTCCCAAGGAGAGAGGTTGGATAACAGGAAACCTATACATGTACCAAGGCTTTTGGCACCAGTCGATGCGTATAATCTCAATAGAAACTGTGATGGCCTTACAAGACACTTTCAAAGCTCACCCAACAGATATCTACTTGGCCACACTGCCAAAATCTGGCACAACATGGCTCAAGGCGCTCGTGTTTGCTATAGTTAACAGAAATCGCTACAAAAACAACTCTCTTTCAACTCACCCTCTACTCATCTCCAACCCTCACAACTGTTTGCCTTTCATTGAGACTGAAATATATAGACACACACCTACTTATGCCAAAGCACATTCACCACGACTGTTTGCTACCCATATACCCTACATTTCATTGCCTCAATCCATTCTTCAGTCGAATTGTCGACTAATTTATTTATGTAGAAACCCTAAAGATGTTTTGGTCTCTATGTTTCACTTTGCAAACAAGTTGAGAGACAAATCGGGCAGTCTACTGACATTTGAGGAGGCGTTCGAGTTGTTTAGTAATGGTTTCATGCCAATAGGACCTTACTGGGACCATATTAAAGGGTACCACAAGGTTAGTTCAGAACACCCGGGAAAGGTTCTATTTTTAACGTACGAGGATATGAAAACGGATACTTTAAATCATGTCAAGCGAGTTGCAAAGTTCTTGGGCTACCCATTCACAGAGAAAGAAGAGACTGAAGGTGCAGTCCAAGAGATTATCAGACTATGCAGTTTCGAAAATTTAAGCGAGGTTAATAAGCATGGAAATCTACGTGAGGGTATACCTAATGATGCTTTTTTCAGGAAAGGGGAAGTTGGAGATTGGACCAACCATCTCACCAATGAAATGAGCCAGACTTTAGATCGAATTACCAGAGAAAAGTTCCATGGTTTGGATATCTCCTTCAACTAAAGGTGGATTCGCTACTCCTTTGCTGTTCTTGAAAAAAGACATTCGATCTTAGGAAACTCGTTTTTTGGAAACTAATTGACGTAATAAATTGTTTATTTCTGATTATTATTATTTTTTTATACGATCACTGTGTTCCTTACCATAATTAATATGTATATGGGGGATTTCCCACTTATTTTTTTATCATTATAATCATTTTCGTGAATCAATGATAGTTTAAGGGTAAGGTGTTTGTGTTACTGTGCCACTACATTTCCAGGCATTAGCGGCGACGCCTGTCGCCGCGAAAGATAGGGGTTGTCGTCACTAAAGGTATTAGTGGCGACATGTCGCTGCAAAAAGGTCGCCACTAATGCTTCGTCACAAATTCTCTATTAGCCACCTGTCGCTACTAATACAACGTCGCCACCAATAGCTTTGTGTCGCCGCTAAAAGAATTTTCATTTTTTTTTGTTTATTTAACATTAAAATTATAAAAAAAAATAACATATATAAAGTTGCTACAATTTTACAGGAATATTAACCCAAAATATTAATTCATACACAACCAATCCAAAATATTAATTAATCCATTCACAACCAATCCACAATATTAATCCAGAGCACTCATGATCTCAATTGTATGGTGTAATTTTTAGCTTTCTTTTGGTTGAAAAATAGGACGATGAGAGGTGATAGTTTATGTTGGTTTATATGGTGTAAACATCCTACACGTGCTTGCCTAAACTGCTTATAGCTTTAGCTTTTGCTAGTTTTTCATGCTAAAGAATTTCATTTTCAAAAAAAAAAATAATAATAATAAAGAAAAAATTAAATAATTCAAAACCCACTTGATTTATATATTTACCAAAACCATATTGGATGCACCACTCATCAAAGCATTATTTTGGTGAATATCCGGATTGAAATTAAAGAATTATTTATTATTTATTGTTATTTATTATTATTTTTTTTTTTGAATGTTTAAAATATGGATGTGTGAAAAATATGTTACCTTCTTTTACCGATTATATAGAAATAAACTTGATAAAATCAAGTTTTATTTAGATTTCTGAAGGTGAGCGACATGGTGTAGATATATTCTTACCTACACTCTTTGCAAAATTGATGGAGGGATGTAACATTTTGTATAATCAGATAGGAAAACAAATATCATATAGTAAAAATTGTTGTGTTGTTGAGTAGTCAGTTCACCTGAATCATGCTATCTTATATAGGATTAAACAATACACAAACACGTCACAATATCATTAATAATAGTTATAAATGTATGGTCACTTCGTTTCATTTTGGTCAAAAGATACGCATTGATATGGTTTGGAATACAGTCATAAACGTCATTGCCAACCTGGCAAATATTGAAACTTTTACTCCAATGTCAATATTGTTTTAGTATATATAGACAAGTGAGAGTGTTAATTAAACAATAGAAACTCCTTTTATTCAATTCCACAAAGATGACTTTTCAAATATCAGTCCCTGATGTCTACCCTCTTTCATTTGTAGACGATAATGACCATGAAAAGACCAATCTAGCGCTCTTGTATGATAGATACAAGGATAGGTTCACAACTTTTCCTAAGGAGAAAGGCTGGATGACTGAAGACCTTTATATGTACCAAGGGTTTTGGCACCAGTCAAAGAACGTAGTCTCGGTTGAAACTGTGATGGCCACACAAGACAGTTTCAAAGCTCATCCATCCGATGTGTACTTAGCCACACTTCCAAAATCTGGCACAACATGGCTCAAAGCCTTAGCTTTTGCTATTGTAAACCGAAACCGATATAAAAACAAGCCACCTTCAACCCACCCACTACAAAACTCTAATCCCCATAACTGTTTGCCTTTCGTTGAGACTGAAGTTTTAAGAACTAGCCCTACTTATGATAATGCACATACTCCACGTCTCTATGCTACCCATATGCCTTACACTTCCTTGCCTCAATCCATTCTTGATTCTTCATGTCGCATAGTTTATATGTGTCGAAACCCTAAAGATGTTTTAGTCTCTTTGTTTCACTTTGCAAACAGTTTGAGAGGCCAATCTCGGGATTTGATGACATTCGAGGAGGGGTTTGATATGTTCTGTAAAGGTGTCATACCAAACGGACCTTATTGGGATCATGTTAACAGGTACTACAAAGTAAGTTTAGAACAGCCGACAAGGATTCTGTTTTTGACATACGAGGAGATGAAAATGGATACTAGGAATAATGTGAAGCTTTTGGCAAAGTTCTTGGGCCACCCTTTTACAGAGGAAGAAGAGGGGAAAGGTGTGGTGGAAGAGATTATGAGCCTATGTGGTTTTGAAAACTTGAGTGAGGTTAATAAGCATGGGAGTTTAAGTATTGGTATACCAAATCATGCCTTCTTTAGGGAAGGGAAAGTTGGAGATTGGAGGAACCATCTCACAATTGAAATGGGTCAAAATGTGGATCAAATTACCAAAGAAAAGTTTCATTGTTGGGATCTTCTTCTAAATACATGTTTATGATAAATGGACATAAAAAGTTTTCACCCTTGGGTTTACTTGTATTCAAATAAAGGTCTCTTGTTTCAAGAATTGTTCTAGCTTAAATGTCTCATTCCAAAAAAGAAATCCCAATTGACTGTATTATATTAATAAATTGTTGTTATTCTGTTATATGAATGAAAACTTTTTTTTCTAGCTTTTCTTAGAGGGCGGTGTTAGGATCGAGACACTTAACACACGACTCTAAACACACGCACAGCTCACGAAAGAAAACAAGAACACAAGAATGAACACGAGGGATTTAACGTGGTTCGGTCTTTCTCTGACCTACGTCCACACGAGGGTAACTAGGAGTGTTTATTTCTTGGTGCTATGCACTCTTTCTTTTTTTGTGTATATCAGACTACAGATACAATACAATCTTATATAGGATTGAATGGAGAAAAGGAAAGCCACAAAACATGGTCCGTAAGAACCGGATCACCATTCCTTTTTAATCAACCTTTTTGACTAACTTTTCTGTGGACCACATTGACGTGGATTCACACTCAACAATCTCCCACTTGAAGCCACGGAACAATCTTCACCTGTGCTTCAACTGTGCATCTGTATTTCGGTAAAACACTTTTGATCTTGACTCCATCCTAGTTACCCGGCTTTCTCTTCAATTATCCTGAAGGCCAGTTGAAGCTATGCAAAGCTTCAACTTCTCTAAGGTGACAACCTTAGTCAACATATCAGCTGGATTTTTAGTTCCTTTGATCTTATTCATCTTCAGAGTGCCATCATTAATTCTTTCTCTGATGAAGTGATATCTCAGCTGTATGTGCTTTGTCTTCGAATGGAAGACGTGATTCTTTGCAAGATGAATTGCACTTTGATTGTCACAAAATAATGCACAATCATCTTGTTCTTTGCCAAGTTCGTTGAGAAAATTCTTCAACCATATAAGCTCTTTGCTTGCTTCAGCAACTGCCATATACTCTGCTTATGTGGTTGAAAGGGCAACACTTTTCTGTAGTTTGGATATCCAACTTACCGCAGTGCCTCCCACTGTAAAGACATACCCTGTGGTGCTTTTGTATGACTCTTTACAACCACCAAGGTCTGCATCTGCATAACCCCTCAGAATGACATCTTTTCCCTTGAAATGCAATGTCATCTTTGAAGTCCCCTTCAAATATCTTAGCAACCATTTAACTGCTTCCCAATGTTCTCTCCCCGAATTGGACATAAACCGACTAATAACTCCCACTGCATGAGCGATATCTGGTCTTATGCATACCATTGCATACATGAGGCTACCAACAGCAGATGCATACGGAACTTTAGCCATTTCTTTCTTGTCTTCATTTGATTTGGGTGACTGAACTTTAGAAAGCTTAAAGTGACTTCCCAAAGGTGTGCTTCTGATCTTGGCATCTTTAAGGCTGAATTTCTCTAACACTTTCTCAATGTACTTCTCTTGAGAGAGTGTCAAAGAGCCATCTTCTTTGTTTCTGGAAATACTCATCCCGAGTATTTGGTTTGCAGCTCCCAAGTCTTTCATCTCGAATTCTTCAGACATTTGTTTCTTTAACTTCTTGATCTCTGAAATGTCTGAACCGGTAATCAACATATCATCTACATAGAGTAATAGAATGATATAAGAACCCTTAAACTTCTTGATGTAACAACAATGATCATTGTCACATCTCTTGTAACCAACTCTTCTCATGAAGTTATCAAACTTCAAATACCATTGTCTGGGTGCTTGTTTCAGACCATACAAACTCTTCTTCAATTTACACACCAAGTTTCCTTTGCCTTTAACTTGGAAACCCTCTGGTTGTGTCATGTAAATGTCTTCTTCTAGGTCACCGTGTAGAAAAGCTGTTTTGACATCTAGCTGCTCTAGATGCAAACCTTCTGCTGCTACAATACTGAGAACAAGTCTGATAGTGGTCATCTTTACTACTGGAGAGAATATTTCATTGAAATCGATTCCCTCTTTCTGTTGAAAACCCTTGACTACTAATCTTGCTTTGTACCGTTTGGTACCATCATGTTCATCTTTGACCCTGAAAACCCATTTATTTTGAAGAGCCTTCTTCCCAACTGGAAGCTTTGTTAAGTGCCAGGTGTTGTTCTTCTCAAGCGACTTCATTTCATCTTTCATTGCTAGCTCCCACTGCAATGAATCTTTCAACCCTATAGCTTCAGAGTAACACTGGGGTTCACCATTTTCTGTCAGGAGAATGTAGTTAACAGATGGTGAGTATCTTTTTGGTGGTCTGGTGACTCTGGAAGATCTTCTTAGTTGAACTTGAGGTGTTACTGGGGACTCTGGAGTTAGAGGACTGGTTTCATCTTCTTCAGAATCATTACTGGAATTATCCCCTGAGCTCCCACTGTCAGTTGAGTCATCCCCAGATTCAGGGATTTCGACTGAAGCTTCTTTCTTCTTTTCATCATCTTCAAACTCAACATACTCCTTCTGAATTTCTGGACTTTTGTTGTTTCTGTCTTTGTATAACTCAGTTTCGTTAAAGGTGACGTTCTTGCTTCGGATTAACTTTCTGTTTTCACTATCCCAAAGCCTGTAACCCATTTCGTCTGACCCATAACCAATGAATGTACACTTCTTGGTCTTTGAATCAAGTTTATCTCTGTCACCATCTTTTAACAAACTGTAAGCAGTACAACCAAAAACTTTCAGGTGTTTGAGACTTACTTCCTTCCCTTGCCACATTTCTTCTGGTAATTTAAAATCCAAGGGAACACACGGTGAACGGTTGATCAAGTAGGCTGCAGTGTTAACTGCATCAGCTCAAAATGTCTTAGGTAAACCAGAATTCAACCTCATGCTTCTAGCCCTTTCATTCAGAGTTCTATTCATTCTTTCAGCTACACCATTCTGCTGAGGGGTTCCTGGGACCGTCTTGATCATCTTTATCCCTTGCTTGGCACAATAGTCAACAAACTCCTTGCTTATGTATTCACCACCATTATCCGACTTCAGGCATTTTACCTTCAAATCAGTTTCATTTTCAACAGTAGATTTCCATATCTTAAAAGTATCAAATACATCAGATTTATTTTTAAGAAAATAGACCCATACCTTGCGTGTTGAATCATCGATAAAGGTTACATAGTAGTTTTTGCCTCTTAGAGATGAAACTGGTGTTGGTCCAAATACATCCGAGTGAACAAGCTCCAACTTCTGAGCTTTCGGTGTCTTCCCCGTTTTTACAAAAGTAACCCGCTTTTGTTTCCCGAGAACACAACATTCACAAAATTCAGTTTCGACTTTCTTCAAGTCTGGAAACTTTCCTTTCTGAGCCAACATCTTCAATCCCTTATCGCTCATGTGTCCGAGTCGTTGGTGCTATAAATTAGATGGACTTGGATTGGTGGTTACGGCATGAACACCATCACCAGGTATCTCTACCATGTATAGAGTGCCTTTCTTCTTTCCTTTGGTAATCACCAAGTTGCCTTTGATTGCTTTCCATTGTCCACCCCCAAAGTGAACATCAAGTCCTTCATCATCCAACTTACCAACTGAAATCAACTTTTTCCTTAAGTTTGGGATAACCCTGACATCTTTCAATGTCCAGGTGGTTCCCATGGAGGTCTTCAAATCTACGTCTCCTATACCCGTAATATCAAGCACTTGATCATCGGCCAAACTAACTTTGCCAAAGTCACCTGTCTGTAGGTTCTTGACAATATCTGGGCATGAGACAGCATGGAAAGAAGCACCCGAATCCATAATCCAGGATTCCATTGAATTCTCAACACAACATATGAGACAATCTCCCGATTCTTCAGAGGATATATTGTGTACTTCTTTCTTTGCAGCTTGTGGTTTTGGACATTGGTTTCTAAAGTGACCCTTTTCTTTGCAATTCCAACATTCAATATCTTTTCGGTTCTTGGACTGCCCCCTTTTTCTGGACTTTGACCTGCCTCGACTATGTCCTCTTTCGTTTCTTCTTCCTCTACTTTCTGTATGCAATAGAGAACTAGAATTAGAAGTCTCACCATTGCTTCTCCGTCTGATATCTTCATTTACAATCAAGTCACGAATACTCTCGAAAGTGAGTTTGATAGTGCCGGATGCACTACTAACAGCTGTGACTGTGCCTGACCAACTATCGGGTAAAGATGATAAAAGGAGGAGCGCTTGTACTTCATCTTCAAACTTTATTGCAACTGAGGCTAAACGAGAGATAATCGAGTTAAACTCGTTTATGTGAGCGGTAACTGACATGCCTTCCTTCATTTTGGTGTTAACCAATTGTTTGATGAGGAACACTTTGTTGGAAGCGGACGGCTTCTCGTACATGTTGGACAAAGCCTTAAATACTCCATAAGTAGTTGTTTCATTAACAATGTTATACGCAACACTCTTTGCCAATGAAAGACTAACTACACCCAAGGCTTGTCGATCCAACAACTTCCATTCTTCATCATACATGTCATCCGGTTGTACGCCCAACATAGGCAAATGCAAACTTTTCTGATACAACAAATCTTCAATTTGCATCTTCCAAAATCCATAATCGGTTCCATCAAACTTGTCAATCTTGATTTTACCATCTTCTGCCATTTTTGCAATTTTCTGAAAGAACAGGGACCTGTTTTGCAATTTTCTGAAACTTCAGGGACCTGTCTTGCAATTTTCTGGAACTTTAGGGACCAAATCTGAGTTTTTCAAATTCTGCTACAGTGACGCTACAGTGTCGCTACAGTGATGCTACAGTGTCGTTACAGTGTCGTCTTCTCCGGCAGGTCTCCGGCGTACAGTGTCGTCTTCTCCGGCAAGGCTCCGGCACTACAGTGTCGTCTTCTCTGGCGAACTGGTTTTCCGGTCACTATTCCGGCGAACCTTTGACCGGCGATTTGGACGTCTTCCGGTGGTCGAAAAATTCAGAAAAAAATATTTTCGGAATCTTCAGAACGAGACCTTTCCAACGGTATACACCAAAATCGTTTTTGACGAAAACAAATTTCGACCAAAAAACTGAAAATCACCTTCTGGAGCTAAACCAACGCTCTGATACCACTTGTTAGGATCGAGACACTTAACACACGACTCTAAACACACGCACAGCTCACGAAAGAAAACAAGAACACAAGAATGAACACGAGGGATTTAACGTGGTTCGGTCTTTCTCTGACCTACGTCCACACGAGGGTAACTAGGAGTGTTTATTTCTTGGTGCTATGCACTCTTTCTTTTTTTGTGTATATCAGACTACAGATACAATACAATCTTATATAGGATTGAATAGAGAAAAGGAAAGCCACAAAACATGGTCCGTAAGAACCGGATCACCATTCCTTTTTAATCAACCTTTTTGACTAACTTTTCTGTGGACCACATTGACGTGGATTCACACTCAACAGGCGGAAGTACAAACTCTTTTAGAAGAAATCTAAGCATTGCATGTTCTAAATAATAGATGTATTTTAAACATATTTTTTAGAGATAATGTAGCTACAAAGAACTTAGAAAATGCATAACTAGTTTTAAACCACATTTATTAAATCATTAATAAACGGATGTAAATCAATCATAAGAGGATGAAAATACATGAAGAATTGCTTATTGAAATCCATTTACTTTTGCATATTATTTGGCAATATTTGAATATTTGTTTCACCATTGTATCACCATATACCATAATTGGTAGATTTACACATAAGAAAAAAGTATATAACTCATTCAATTTAATAACAAACTAACAATAAAGTATCCATGCATATTCACCTCACCCACTTGGCCACTTTCATATCTATATAACCATATCATTATAAGACTCCGTCTACTAAAAAACGAGAAGTTTTCATATTATAACGCCAAGTTTTTTTTCGTAGAAGACAACTACAAGTATCTACAAATATATATATTGCTATGAATTACCAAAAGTCAAAACAAGTATAATAAACATATTCACATTCTCTTCAAGATTTTCTGACATTTCACCGTACCCGGAAAATCAAGGATCTTGCATTCAACAAGGCTCAATCGTTCTGAATCTGTCATCATCTTGAATCCAAATGCTTGAGTCCAAGTACTAACCATATCAGGAACCGCAGGCAAAACAAGCTTCTCAACACCCAACTCTCCCAATTTCCATTCCAGCTCATCCATCAACATGCTACACATCCCTAGTCGCCTGTACTGGAATCTTGTGGCAACAAATGGAATCTCCGCCATTTTACTACCATGAACTCGCACTATAACCACCGATATCACTTCCTCATCTCTCTCCAAAACCGCTGTAAAGAACCCTTTGAAATTCGACTTTTTTGAACATCTATTAAAGATAACGTCTTCAACCACATCATTATTGGACCACGGATGCTGTACAGGTTCGAAACACTCATTCATCACTTCTAATGCCAAGTTTAGTTTGCTATAAGTTTCTGTATATTCTTCCTTTATGTTGTTATCATCACTCACCATCTTCAATAAACTCCAACTCAGGTTGTTCGTTGTTAATGGAATCGATATGCCAGAAATCCCCATTAGGCCCGAAGATATTCCTTCACATTTTTTAGAACAGAACGTTTTATTACCATCAGAAGACATTGAGAGCACTTCTTTTTTCAGGCAATCAATGTGGAAATGGCGCTCACATTGTTCACACGTAATTTGGTCATGATCATGACCTTGAAGACAAATCCCACAACAGCAAGATGGGCAGAACCAGTACTCAGAATCAGGAACTCCATTCAATCCAATGCAAGATGAATGATAAGAAGAAGGACAAGAATCACATAACAATAAATCACCCCCATCATTGCAAAAAGAACAAAACTCATCTTGGCCAGATATCGCATGATCAGATGATTTTGTCGATTTAGTGACTGTATCAACTTCGGTTTCTAGGTTTAACTGTGTCTGACAATCCAAAAGAGACCTCCCATCATCTAGAAATATCCTGGCTGATGGTCTACGATATGTACTTCCAGCATGAGACTCGAATTTGCTTAGAAGAAAAAACATATTACAACAATCACACTGAATCCCCTTCTCATATATACGCCCGGATGCCATAATATGATCATCTAGTCTGTTAAGATAAGCGACTCTTGAACCACTTAACACAATTTTTCTTTGGATTAGGGAAGAAAGAGGGCACCTGCGGCTCACAGAAGAAGGTTTCACCTTTCGTATTCGTTTCTTGGGTTTAAACTCTTTTCTTTTCTTCCCGGATTCCTTCAATTTCTTAATCTCACGAAGAGCTTTTCCTGAACAATTTCTCAGAATACCCTCTTTCTTTTCATCATCGTCAACAATACCCGAATCATTACTGTTCCCAACCGATTCTTCACTCTGTTGACGGAAATACGAACTTTCAACATCTTCTATCCGAATCCTTTTCTTGGGTCGACTATTGCTGATCACTGACTCATCGCTATTCACCAATTTCGTATCCTGTTTTGTACCTTCTTCGATTATGGAACTACTCACGTCAAGATCGTGATGATCTTGATGATCAATGAGAGATCCACAGGCTGTTCGGAGGGAGATATAAGTTTTACCTTTCGGAGAACAATACCGAAGTTCTCGACGATTGGGTTTCTTCCAGAGGTAGAAGAAAGTCCAACCGAGTGCAGAGAGATGATTTTTTGCTTTCATGATTTTAGCTTTGATATCTGGATTCTTGCTTCTGCCTATTTGAACGCCACTTGAATAGTAATTTTTTATGGCTTCTGGGTTGTACTCTGGTTCATACTTAACGTACTCCATTGAAACAACAGTTGAAGAGGAATTAGGCAGAGTGGAGGATTGGCATAAGAGCATGGTGTTCGGAGACGACGATGACGATATAGGGTTTAACCTGTTTGAAAGTGTTATTAGGGTTTATGCTTGAATCTCACGTAAAAGTTTGATATATGCACCTATATTTTAAAAATTGCATTTTAATCACCTAGATTCTCGATAAATAACGATAGGATAGGACCCTACCGTAGGTGTAACTCTTGAACGGGATTTTTTAAGTCCAAAGTCTAACCGACTCATCACACACGGCCCAACTTTTGTTTATGATTTTCAGAACACATTTTTATTTTATTTTTTCCGATGGTTTCATTTATGTCCAGATATACAATTGTAATTCATTAAAGTTTTATATAGACGTACAGATAAACTGGCAAAAAGTTATGTCTTTTTTTTGTTTTTTTTACATCCCATGCGTTATCCATTTTCTTAAAACTTGATGACCACAAAAAACAAAAGAGAGACAGGAATGCTTCGTTCAGATATAATTGAAATGATTCCAATAGAACGTGTTGTTGATAAATTAACAACTACAAGTTGGGGCTAACTTACTTGGCTAACAATGTGTCTAACTAGGAGTTTCTAACCAAAGGGCTTCTCGCCCAACACTACAAGAAATGTTGGCATTACCGGCGACGTCTTTAGCAGCGACGCTGGGCAGTAGCGGCGACATGTAATTAACGCGTTACATGTCGCCGCTATTGCCCAGCGTCGCCGCTAAAGAGGTCGCCGCTAATGCTCACTAACAACGATCCGCGTCAAATTACCTCCATCCGTCCGATTTGTTTTCAAACCAATGGTTGTAGAGGAAAGCGAAAACACGTTGATTTTTCCCTCAAAGGTGTCGCCGCTAATACCTTTGCGTCGCCGCTATCGTCTGTCGCCGCGAAGCATCACCGGCGACGCATTTGGAGCGACAGGTCGCCGCTAAAGGTATTAGCGGCGACAACCCTAACCTTTAGCGACGACACGCGTCGCCGCTATTGTCCAATCTTCTTGTAGTGCAATGATATCAGGTGTTGCTCTCCCTCCTTGAGGTTGAGGGTTCAAGTCTCGTGGGAGACATATGTGGATTTAGGAGTAGTTTAGGATTATATTTTATTTGCCGTTCAAAAAAAAAACTATGAATTTCTAACCAGGAGGTCCTGGGTTCAATCCCAAACAAATACTGACATGGTCATTCAAAAAAAATTAACAACTACATTTCAATGAATTCACAAAATAACCTTTTAGTTGTTTCTTTAAAAAAGTGATTTTAAAACTTTTTTTGTAGACTAAACGCGGTATTCTTATGAGATATTCATTACATTGATCATAAATGTGGTCGTTAATTAACTAACCACATTTCATTGAATTTACAGAAAATGCCTAGCAATTCGCAAAATAACCTTTTAAGTTTTTTCTTGTAGAAAGTAATTTTAAAACTTTCTTTCTAGACTAAGTTACAAATTTAATCTATGTAGTATGTGTTATTGATTTTAATGTAACCAGGCATAGACATTTTATGTAATTTGAACTAATATGTGAGCTAAAGGGTTTATCATTTGTACTCTATATTATATGTTTGGAGTATGTCAAGTGCATGCATATATAAGATCGAATTATAAGCTGGTACAACGGAATGATGGGGTCAAGGGGGGCACAACCCCCTTGCAGGGTCCTAAAGGCAGCGCCCCTAGCAGTGGTCCCGTTAATGGGTGATTATGGTAAAATTGATAAATCTTATCAATTTTGGTAACCATTGATTATGTAATTAAATTTGTGATTCTCCTAACTAATATAGAAGACGGAAACCCTAATCTGTCTAGTATAAATACGGATCCTTAATTAAGTTGTAATACACAGAGTAATATACCCTTATCAGTTCTTCTTCTTCTTCTTCTCAAACTCAGAACCTTCTGGCGATTTGGCTTGTGTTTTTGTGCCTAGATACAGAAGTGTCCTTTTGGATTATCATAGGCTGGATTTCCTGTAACCCATGCATAGGGTGGAAATATCAGTTCAGAAAGTGAACTTACACGATCCAAGAGAAATCCGATTCTCCACCACCACCTACTCAAATATCCTCCAACAATTTGCGCTCATCTATAGATCTGGTCAAAGTTTTGAAAAACTAATAGAGATGATGTTCGTGGTTTCAAAGTGCATCACAATTGGTCCTTTTGTTTGTTACCTTTTGTCAGTCTCTCTCATGCATGTAAAATGACAATTTTACACTATTTTTTCTGAACACTGAATTTAATTGTTGCCAAGTAAACATATTGTGTACCGAGTCAGAGAGCCATCATACGTTTTAACCACATTCGTCATTCAATATTCACCATCAGGGTCATGGAACAAGGACACACAAGGACACAAGTGTCGTTAGTAATAAGTGCATTACACTCATCATTTATGTCTTGAAACTAGTTAAGATCCTATAAAACTTACAAATATGAATAGAGCATGAGTGCAATGGTGGTCGTGTGTATGTTAAGGCATTGAACGTGCTTAAGATCATTGTATTTAGAACAGGTTATCATATGGTGAGCTCTTGGTTGGGTCAAAAGGGGGTGGAGTACAGGTTATCAAAGTCAACGTTATGGGTTGACTCAACTCGCCGAGTTATCCTATCAACTCGTCGAGTTCTACAACTCAAAAATCCTGAAAACGCGATCCAACTCGCCGAGTCATCCCCTAACTCGTCGAGTTCCCTAGCTACTCCTAGTCGCGATTAAGCGAGTCAACTCGTCGAGTCCTCATCAGACTCGTCGAGTTCCACCATAATCAGAATCGGGACAACTCGTCTCAACTCGTCGAGTTCCTCTATGGACTCGACGAGTTACCCTGTCTATTTGGGCCATCTTAAAGGATTAAGCCCCTAATCTTCAGATCCAAGCTTCTTGTTTCTCCTACACACTGAATATGTCCTTTTAGAGGTAAAGTTTCCAACTTTACCCATTAATAGCCCTCCTTCAAGGGTTTAGCTCAAACCCTAGTTCTCTAGGACATATATCTTGGTCCAAAAACCATATTACTCCAAACCAAAGCATACTAACATAGATCTAGGCCTTAGACATCATTTGGACGCGTAAAGTTTCTGCCTTTATCCCCATGCATGGCCTTTTGGGCTAAAAAGGCCAAGATATCATCCTAAAGCTTACATGGGAGCTCCAATGGCATAAAGTTTGCACCTTTATGCCATATCAGCCCTTCAAAGTCTTAGATCTAGTAGAATACCCACTTGGGTCCACCATTCTCCAAAAGCTATCATTCTTGGACCAAAAACCATCATAAAGGTGAAATAAATAGATCTAAGAAACCATTGAGCAAGGTTGAGACTTGCTTACCCGAAATTGTAGCAAATGAAGTGTTGTCTCTGGATTTACTCTCTTTCTCTTGAGCCCTCTAGCTTCCTTTTCTTCCACAAGCTTCAAATGCACACAAAGATCACTCAAAATGGCTCACAACCTCAAACAAGGCACTAGGGTTTCGTGGATTAGGGTTTGGGACTTGGAGGCTGTAAATGAGACTGAGGGGTGGGGATTAAGATGCTTAAATAGGGTGAAAACCCCCGAAATTAGGGTTTCACTCTGGCAGAACTACTCGCCGAGTTGAGGGCTCTCAACTCGTCGAGTAGATTGCTTAAACACCGCGTCCAAATCTCGTTTCTACTCGACGAGTCTGGGGCTCCCAACTCGTCGAGTAGCTATACTAAAATGAATAAATTATAAATAAATGCGTACCAGGAATCAGGCGTTACAATTCTCCCCCACTTGTCTTAGACTTCGTCCTCGAAGTCTGCTGTCTCGAATAACTTTGGGTAGCGCTCCCTGATCTCCTCCTCGGGCTCCCAAGTCCACTCTGAACCTCTGCGGTGCTGCCACTGCACCTTCACCAACTCAACCATCTTGTTCCTTAACTCCTTCTTCTTCTTCTTCTTATCGAGAATAGTTACTGGTCTCTCGATGTAATTCAGGCTGTCATCCACCTGAATGTCCTCTAGAGGCACAACCGCTGAGTCATCCACTAAGCACTTCCGTAGCTGGGAAATGTGGAAAGTGTTGTGGATCTGGTTGAGCTCTGCTGGAAGACCTAGCCAAAACCCTGAACGAACTGATGTATCTGGGGCCCAGCTTGCCCCACTTCCTGAACCGGGTGACACCTTTCCAAGGTGACACCTTCAGGAGGACCATTCCGCCCACCTAAAACTCCAAGTCTGAACGTCGCTTTTCGGCATAGCTCTTCTGCCGACTCTGAGCAGTCCGGAGCCTGCTCCGTACCTGCTGGATCCTCTCAATAGTCTTGAGTACTACCTCAGTACTCCCCATGACTCTATGACCGACCTCGCCCCAACAAATTGGGGTCCTACACTTCCTCCCATAGAGCATCTCAAAGGGAGGTCGGTCTATGTTGGCGTAGTAACTGTTGTTATACGAAAATTCCACTAACGAAAGATACGTATCCCAACTGCCACCGAAATCCAAAACACATGCGCGTAGCATGTCCTCAAGAGTCTGAATAGTCCTCTCGCTCTGTCCGCCCGTCTGAGGGTGGAAAGCGGTGCTGAAGTGGAGACAAGTACCCATCTCTTCGTGAAACCACTTCCAAAATCTGGAAGTGAAACAGACATCTTGGTCTAACACCACCGAAACAGGCACTCCATGTCGTGCCACTATCTTGCACATGTAAATCTCGGCCAGCTTCTCAGCCGATATACTCTCCTGGATTGGGATAAAATGAGCACTCTTGGTCAACCAATCCACGATGACCCATATCGAATCTACTCCGCGTACGGTCCTGGGAAGCTTGGTGATGAAATCCATGGTGATATCTTCCCATTTCCACACGGGAATGTCTAGCGGCCGCATCTTGCCGTGTGATCTCTGGTGCTCGGCCTTGACCTTCCTGTGCATCTTGTCGTGTGGTCTCTGGTGCTCGGCCTTGACCTTCCTGCAGGTCAAGCACCGCTCTACATACCATGCTACGTCCCGCTTCATGCAGGGCCACCAGTAATCAGGGCGAAGATCCCGATACATCTTCGT